TCCTGTCCCAGCCTGAGGAACAGACAGTGAGCCTGTCTCTCAGTAATACTAATAATACAGTGTGAGCCCCCTGTCTCCTCTCTCCTGTCTCTCTCTCTCACCTTGTACGTAGCGTTGACATAGGTCCTCACAGTGGGTCCACAGGACTCCAGCACATCAGGGGTCCTCAAGGGGGTGGAGGACAGCGCACCCCCATTCTGCAGCCACTCGTTCTCCCGCAGGACGGACATCTTGAGGCGCTTGGCGGGGTCCACCGTCAGCAGGCCTGTGGGGAGAGAGGCCAACAGTTACAGTTACAGTCACCATAACAGCGATAGGAACAGTAACAGTGATTGTCACAGTAATAATAGTAATCCTTACACTTATAGAGCTGGACTGGACACTCCACTCAGAGCTCTTTCCAGATACTGGGGAACCCCTCCACCCCCACCAGTGTGTACCCCCACCTGGATGATGCGCCAGTCCGCTCCCCACAAACCAGCTCTCAGTGGGGAGGAGAGCAGAGTGATGGAGCCAGTTCAGAGATGGGGGTTATTAGGAGGCCATGATGGGTAAAACCCAGGGGGGGAATTTGGCCAGGACACTGGGGTAACACTCAGACATCCCTGGGGTGCAGACCCCAGGGCTAAGGGGGCTGTGAGGTGAACTGTGGGGACGTGGCCTGGGACGTCATACCTCTCACCAGGTCTTTGGCTTCCTCGGACACGCCCCTCCAGGCCTCTCCCTCCAATGAGAAGTCTCCCTCTTTGATCTTGCGCATGATGTCGGCGGCGTGCGATGACGTCATCCCCTTCTGCCCACTCTGGAAGGGAACCTGGCCTGACAGCATCGTGTACTGGAACAGAGAGACACAGACAGGGTAGGGACAGGCACAGAGAGAGAGAGAGACACTGAGAGACAGACAGGCTGTGAGAGACACAGAGAGAGACAGTGGAAGACAGACAGGCAGTGAGAGAGAGACAAGACACAGAGAGAGACAGGTAGTGAGAGAGACAGACAGGCAGTGAGAGAGAGAGACAGGCAGTGAGAGAGAGGTAGGGAGATAGAGAGACGGGCGCGGAGAGGGTACCAGGATGACGCCGAGACTCCAGAGGTCGCAGGCCTGGTCGTATCCGGCGCTGTGGAACAGCTCTGGCGCGGCGTACTGCAGGGTGAAGCAGGGCGTCTGCAGGGGCATGCTGCCAGCAGGGCACAGCCGCGCGAAGCCGAAGTCGATCACCTTGAGCGCCGCGTCCTCGCCCTCGTCCGCGAACAGCAGGTTCTGCACAGCGCAGACAGAGTGACCATCAGCTGCTCCACACCCCCACCACTGTCAGCGTACGTCAGCGCCAGACTCGCATTGACCCAGTGTCGCATTGCAGTATTGGGGTACAGAGCGACAGTACCTCAGGTTTGAGGTCGCGGTGCACCACCCCCACGTCGTGCATGAAGCTGACGGCCGACACCAGGCTCTTCATCAGCAGGCTGGCCTCCCCCTCAGCAAAGAGCTTCTTCCTCTTGATCCTCTCCAGCAGCTCCCCGCCCTCCAGCAGCTCCAGCACCAGGTACATGTGGTACTGAGAGAGGGCCAGACTCAGCGCAGAGCCCGTGTGTGTGTGTGTGTGTGTGTGTGTGTGT